AAGGTGCTAAGTCCTTATATGGATGACCCCATTACTTTTCAACGACCCTATGAAACAGGTCCTTAGTCGTTCCATGTTACAGATAAGAAACTAAGGCTCAGAGTGATTAAGCATCTTGCCCATGGAATTTAATGAGTGGCAGAGCTAGAATCTGAACCTGGTACACCTGACCACGCAGCCCTCTTCTTATCCTCTATGGTACACAACCTCTTTGCCCGAAGAAAAATTCTTATCTGAACTTTGTAGGAGAAAAAGCTGGTTGAAGAAAAACACCAGGAGGCTGCTCCGAGGAAGATTCGAGAGTGGAGGAAACAGCATTTGCAAAGGCTCAAGAGCTCTGGCACAAGCCATATGTGAGCAAAATGTTTGCAAAGACCAAATGCCCAGGCTTCCAGGGACTCACAGGGGTGGATGAATGGGAAATGGGGCTCCTGGGTGGACCCAGTGCTCAGTGTGTGTGTAAGGCGGGGAAGGGGCTGTAGGCTAATCAGTGAGAAGCCCCTCGGGCTGGATATCTAATTGTCTGTGTAGACTTTTGATAATAAATGGAACCAGGCTGACATAAACCACAGGGGAGCCTAAGGCAGAGCAGCAATGTTTCCCCTCCATCAAGATGATCATTGACTTTGACAAAGGAAATGTGGACCAGGTGGGATGTGAGGTAAGAAGTTACGGGAGAGACACCCCACCACAGCCCTCACCACCAAAGCTCCGAGGAGCAATGTGGAGGTACCCAAGGGCAGTTCCTGCAGCAGTGAAGATGCTCCACCTTGGACCTGACCATTTGTTGATAGGTTTAATCCACTCTAACACAGCCACTCTGCTGTCTTGAGATCAGAGAAGTTTACAGCTAGAAGGAATCTCAAGTACCATTTACTCACCATCCCCACCACCCATCACAACCACTGCCAGCTGTCCTGGCCATCCCAACCCACCCACACTGTGCCAGGATGTAACTGGACTCAGCCCAGATGCGCTCCAGTCCAGAACCACCAAGGAAAGGAGTCCATACGACCGCCTCTAGTCATCAGTTCTGATGTTATCATCATCTATGACGAGGAGGCTCTTTCAATGCTGTGGTTTAAACCGTCTTTCTCTTTTTCTAATAGAGGACAGATTTCACCTTAAATCCATAGTTGAACATGCTTTTATAAGATATCCTCCAGGGGCTTCCCTGGTGGCGCAGCGGTTGAGAATCCTCCTGCCAATGCAGCGGACATGGGTTCGAGCCCTGGTCCGGGAAGATCCCACATGCCACGGGGCAACTAAGCCCATGCGTCACAACTACTGAGCCCATGTGCCGCAACTACTGAAGTGTGCCCTAGAGCCCGTGCTCTGCAATGAGAGAAGCCACAGCAGTGAGAAGCCCGTGCACCCCAACGGAGAGGAGCCCCCGCTCGCCACAACTAGAGAAAAGCCCGTGCGCAGCAACGAAGACCCAACTCAGCCAAAAATAAATAAATAAATAAATAAATAAATTATTTTTTTAAAAAATGACTTGGCCATCCAGGACCTTTAAGAAAAAAAAAAAGATATTCTCCAATTGTTGAAAGTGGTTCTCTCTGAGATATGGGATGACGGAAGACCTCCTGTTTCCCTTTCACTGATTTTTTGTTAACCCTGATGTAACTTGTTTAAACACCCACCCATAAAAGAAGCAGTTGTTTTGAAAGCTCCTCACGGAGGCTTATTTAATTTCCTCTTTTCTGCAGGCTAAAGGCTTCTAGTTTCATCCAGAGGTTGACAATTCAACCTCAGCTCTGTGGCTGACAGGTGACATAAAGGAAAGATAAGGAAGGAGTGTAAGGCAGTGCGGGTGACCCTTGCCAGCTGCACAGAGCACGCCTGGCTGAAAGGCTTTCAAATCCCAAATCGGGCTGCGGGCCGCCAGCCTGCAAACTTTCCATGAGCACTCTTCTCCATCCTTTGTTTCCTGGTTCTCCAAGCTTTCTGAATTAGCATGTGGAGCCCCAGAAGAGAACATCTTTGGCTCTGGCCACCCAGAAACAGGCCTTTATTTGTTGAGTCAACAGCAGTCTCAGTCCCATGCCAAACACTGGCCAGCACACAGGATTTACACCTGCAAAGGTGATCAATCCCTGAGTCCCAGGAGAGGCCACAGAAGCCAAGCAAGGATCCTAGGGAAATGTGACTTGCAGACCTCATTCTGTGTTGGCTCGGGTACCATGGCAACAGAGCGCCCCATCCTGAGTAGATGGTACAGAGACTGCGCCATCAAGTGGCGCCTGTTCTGGCAGACCCTCTGCTTCCCCAAGCAGGCTTGCTCTGTCCAACTGGCACGGAGTCACACTGGTAAGTATTTACACGAGTCAAAATCCACCCAGAGGCAGCAGATGGCCAGGCCAGGCCAGGCTGAGACATGAGGAGAGAGGGGCTGGTTTGGGCTGAGTCAGAGCTAGGAGCAGCAGACAGCTCTTCCACGGGCACTGACAAGTCCAAACATCACTCCTGCTGCTGCCTGGTCTCAGCATGGCTGGAGGCTGGGAAAAGATCCCGCGTGAACAGAGCAAATGATCACAGGCTGATCCTGAGACCCTGAGAGAAAATGGCATTGTACAGAGCTGTCCCACTCCTAAGGCACCTGCTGGCATACCTGGCCATCCTTTGGGGCTCCTTATCATCTTCAGTGGTGGGCACTGCTGGACGGAGCCAGCCGAGGTGCCATATCCAGCCAAGAGAAGCATTCCCGTAAACTGGTGCAGCCACTATGGAGAACAAATGGAGGTTCCTTAAAAAACTAAAAATAGGGGCTTCCCTGGTGGCACAGTGGTTGAGAATCCGCCTGCCAATGCAGGGACACAGGTTCGATCCCTGGTCTGGGAAGATCCCACATGCCACGGAGCAACTAAGCCCATGCGCCACAACTATTGAGCCTGTGCTCTAGAGCCCATGAGCCATAACTACTGAGCCCATGTGCCACAACTACTGAAGCCTGCGCGCCTAGAGCCCGTGCTCTGCAACAAGAGAAGCCACCACAATGAGAAGCCCGTGCACCGCAACGAAGAGTAGCCCCCACTCGCCACAAATAGAGAAAGCCTGCACACAGCAACGAAGACCCAACACAGCCAAAAATAAATTAATTAAATAAATTAAAAAAAAATAGAGTCACCATATGATCCAGCAATCCCACTCCTGAGCATTTATCTTGGAAAAACAAAAACTCTAATTTGAAAAGATACATGCACCCCAATGTTCAGAGCAGCACTATTTATAATAGCCAAGACATGGAAGCAACCTAAGTGTCCATCAACAGAGGAATGGATAAAGAAGATACACACACACACACACACACACACACACACACACACACACACACGAATATTACTCAGCCATTAAAAAGAATGAAATATTGCCATTTGCAGCAACATGGATGGACCTACAGATTATCATACTAAGTGAAGTCAGACAAAGATAAATATATGATATCACTTATATGTAGAATCTAAAAATATGGTACAAATGAACTTAATTACAAAACAGAAACAGACTCACAGACATAGAAAACAAACTTATGGTTACCAAAGGGGAAAGTGGGGAGGAGGGATAAATTAGGAGTTTGGGATTAACAGACACTACTCTACATAAAAGAGATAAACAACAAGGACCTACCCTACAGCACAGGGAACTGTATTCAATATCTTATAATAACCTATAAAGGAAAAGAATCTGAAAAAGGATATATATGTATATTTATAAAACAGAATCACTTTGCTCTACACTTGAAACTAACACAATACTGTACATCAACTATACTTTAAGAAAAAAAAAAAGCTCCTGAAACAAATAAACAACTATAGCAAGGTTGCAGGATACAAGGTTAATGTACAAAGCCAATTGTTTTCCTACATATTATCAAGGAATAATTGGATTTTGATCTTAAAAGCGAAACATCATTTATTTTGGCACAAATCAAGGCAGGGGGCGTGGAAAATTAAAAAAAAAAAAACAAAGAAAACCCACAAACAGACTCACAGACGTAGAAAACAAACTTATGGTTACCAAAGGGGAAAGGAGGAGTTTGGGATTAACAGATACACACTACTCTATATAAAACTGATAATAAGAAGCTACTGTATGGAACAGAGAAGTATATTTAATATCTTGTAATAAACCATAATGGAAAAGTATCTGAAAAAGAATACATACATGTAGAACTGAGTCACTGTGCTGTACACCTGAAATGAACACAACACTGTAAACCAACTATACTTCAATGAAAGATAATTTTTTTAAAAAGAGAAGCATTCCCACTGCAAGACAAGCAGCTCCAAAAGCTCAAGGTTTAAAATCTCAACCAAGATGAGTGGAGAGATCAGGGGCTCCTGTGTCTTTGTCATCTTTATCACCCACACAGCCCAGGCTTGGTACACAACAGGCAACCAGAGGCATGTATTGGGATGAATTGAAAGCGTCTGTGACGCAAATCCAACAGAATGACCTTTACCTCTGACTGGGTTTGGGATGAGTGTCCTTTTTTAAGGCAGGATGTTGGCTATAGAACATTTTGTGAGCCATCCTGAGCCCTGACAGCACCGGTGATATTCTGACGTCGGTAGTCCAGGGTGATAATGGGTGTTTAATTTCCTGCTTTGGAATTCTTTCAGTCACAGGACCCTCGGTGCCTCCCGGGCCCACAGCCAAAGTCTGAGGGAGAATGAAACTCATGCACACCCACAGGGACTGCAGCTTTCATTTGCCAAATGGAGAGTATTTGGACTTGAAGCATTTTCTTCCCTCTCGACTCTCTCACCAGGAAGTTGTGGAGGGTGCCATCTGTAGTGACAAGCATCAGTGATGGGGCAGCCTTGAACCTCAACATCAACACCAACAACCTGGAGGTCAAACCGGGTCGATAACCATGGAACCGGGAGGCATACAGGCTCTCAAAATGCCCCTGGACAATCTAGCACTGAGATTTCTAGAGAATCATTGGACGCTGTGGGCTAGAGGAGCCATACAAATGATTATCAGAAATGATTCTGTCTCCATGTTTATTGGGAACCTCAAAAAAAATGAACAGAGATTGACTGCCCCACCAAAACAAGTGCTGATGCAGAATTACGACATGCTTGGGAATTCTGGGTGGCGAATGGGTGGACTGCAAGGCTCAGCAACTTAGCCCATAGTCAAAGGCATCGGGGTTGTTCTGAAAATAGAGATTCAAGAAGCCGAGGAAGATGTTCTTATCTATGAGAAGAGCACATACTGTGGGGTCCTGCTTCATGGCTGCGATCCAGAGCCGGAGCGCGGGGGTGTGGTTCACACAGCTGCAGGACAGGAGAGAATTGTTAGCACAGCTAAAGGGCAAAAGGGGGCATGGATCACTTTTTAGACTTAAAAGCTACAAGAAATGGATTTACTGGGGCAATAAAGTTATCTCAGTTACCTTACTATCACCTGAGCATAATCACTTACTGGAGGAAAATCTAATTCTTGGAATGGCTGTGTGTGCTTTAGAATTGCAAAAGTTGTTGCTTTTAACCCTGCAGTTAAAATGCTTGTGGACTGAGTGCTCTGGGGAAATAAGGTATCTGTGCTTCACTGTTTGCCAACAAAAAGACAACCCCCTGAAAGACACATCCTTCTGTCATTCTCAGATTTTACTTTAGGCGGTTTGAAAAAAATAAAGACAAGTAGTTTCCAAAAGCACTTTTTTTGGAAAGCAATGAGTAAAACAATCATTAAACCTTGAAATAATGGAGCTGAATGGGTCCTTTCAAAGACCGATCAGGATGTTTAGGTCTAGGATCTGTAAAGTGACTTGCCCAGGCAATAAACTTGTTAGTGTAAAATCCAGGAGAAGAGGTGAGGGTTCCTAATATGTGGTTCAACACTCTGTTCCCAGAAGAGACAGGTTTTTGTAAAGTTTATGGTGTGACACAGTTTTAAATATCCAAGTTTGTTATATCCGAACTTCCCTAAGTGGGACGCACAGGAGATGCCTCCTGGGAAGACTCAAGTGTGTGCATTATGAAGGAGACGCAGTTCTACCTCGGCAGGACTGGATTCCCAAACACCAGAGTGGCCGGCACCCACCATGCAACCGGCTGGCGTGAGAGCAGAGCCAGCACAAGTTCACCCTCTCCTGTGAGCATCGTGGGAACAAAGCACATGTTCTGCCCAGGGCTCCTGTGAAGCCTCCCTGAGTCTACCAGGCAATTTCTTCTGCCTTAAACATCCCTACATTCCCATGGCGTATGGCTGGCCATTTTGTTTGTTTGTATAACATCAAGCATATATTACTTTAAAAATCATTTATTTTTTGAAGGGTATGCCTATCTGGGGAAAGATTCCTTGGGGAACTAAGGTGTGAGGAGTAAGGTGTGTGGGATCCGCTGGGTGACACAGCAGGACCAGGTGGAGGGCCACCGAGGAAGCTGCAGACAAGGCGCCAAAACCCTGTGACTGAGACCCTTCCCCTGCTTCTGTGTTCACCACCAGCCTGTGCTGGGTGGGTGTTGAGGACAGCAGGCTCTGTAGCATGGCAGGAGGCTTTCGGACACAGTCTTACCAGCAGAAATATGGGTAAAGTTTGGGTCCACAGTTAGTGGCATAAGAGCACAGATGCATTCTGAACAAGGAAACACGTAGTTTAAAACCCGACTGTGTTTCACATTCACATGTGTCACATGTCCAGAGAAGGACAAATGGCACACAGACCATTTCAAGCACTAGGGCGACCCTAGGAATCCACAACCACACAGTTAAATGTCTTACTCAGCTATTCCATATACATCCAGCCGCTCAAACCAAGGCCAAAAGAGGTAATCAATCATGGATATACAGTCTCCACCGAAGAAGACTGTGTTCTGATAGCCAAGAATCTGAAAGTTTAAACAGAGCAAAAGCAAGTTAATTTACCTATATGCTAATATATTTATAGACACTAAGTACAAATATCAAATTAATTCCCAAAGAAGGAGAACCAAGACTTTGATTCTCCTTCCATTTTGTTAGGTGAATGCGTCTTCCCTTTTCCTGACTTTTCTTTCACCTCCTTTAGGGTCGTACTCCTGGCCATGCTCAGTCCTGCCCTCCTTTCAACCCTGGGGCATTCGTGCAGCTCATCTGACTGGAGGATTTTGAAGGACAGCCCAGCCCAGCCACTCCTTCTCAGCCTAGAACAGGTTCCTCCCTGTGCTAAGCTTTCCAGGGATGAGCTCAGCCCCTGGAGAGGAGGCCCTGCCCCTGACCATCACTGCCTGTTACTGGGAGGGAGGGGCCACATTAGGAACCCCACCTGTTGCAGTTGTGACTCCCATTCTCCAGGGTCCACTTTATCTGTAATAAAGGGGATACCACAGTCTCCACACATCTTCCTCTTTTGCCTTGTTTCTCAATCAATTCAAAAGAGCAGGGCTATCTAATGGGCTCGCTCAAATCCTAACACTCTCTTCCTATCATATTTTCTTTGTTTATTTGAGCTCTTTGAACTTCACGTGTATTGGCCACCCAACACTATCAACTTTTTACATTAAAATAAAATTTTGTATTCCCAAATGGGACAAATCAACCTGGACAGATGAATCATCAAGAAAACAGATAAACTCTTGACAGAGAGATAGCCAAAGACAGTGGTGGGGGAAAGGTACTTGAGAATTTAAAAAGCAACAGTGCTTAGCAGAGGTTTTGCTGGGCCAGGTCTTCCCACAGAGAAAAGTATGACGCTAGTTACCTAGTTAAATCAAGCAAAAGACTCTCTTTGACCCACGAAAAGCATAATCAACTAAATACTTCCCTGTAGGTACAGATCTAGATTCCTGTGTCCTTATCTCTCAGGCTTGATTCTTCACACTCCAGGACAGCTTGTTGCCTCTATGATGTAGTCTAGGGCTGAAGTTAAGAATGAGTTCTGGGAACTTCCCTGGTAGCGCAGTCGTTAAGAATCTGCCTGCCAATGCAGGGGACACGGGTTCAAGCCCTGGTCCAGGAAGATCCCACATGCCGCAGAGCAACTAAGCCCGTGCTCCACAACTGCTGAGCCTGCGCTCTAAAGCCCGCGAGCCACAACTACTGAGCCCACATGCCACAACTACTGAATCCCACGTGCCTAGAGCCGTGCTCCGCAACGAGAAGCCACCGCAATGAGAAGCCTGTGCACCGCAACGAAGAGTAGCCCCCACTCGCCGCAACTACAGAAAGCCCATGCGCAGCAATGAAGACCCAATGCAGCCAAAAATAAATAAATGTACAAAAAAAAAAAAAAAAGAATGAGCTCTGGTACCAGCAGACCTGGTCCTACCTTGGGCTCTACCTCTCATTCAACATGGAACCCAGGGCAATTTACCCATCTCCTCCTCCAAGCCTCATTTTTCTCATCTGTATAATGGTGGTAATGTTAGTGCCCTCCTCAAGAGGTTATGGTGAGGAGTGACGGAATCATGCATGAATATACATGAGCTCTCGTGATCAGAAAGCACAGAGACCCCCCAGAGGTCACATCTACAGAGAGCAAATCCTTCCCTAACAGAAAAGATCAGTGGGATCCTCCACCTGCCGCCCTTCTCAGAGGAGAAAGCAAATCTTGATGCCCTAAAGTCTATGTCTTCATTACCTCCCAGTATGGCATAGAGGAGACCACCCTGACTAGTGTCCTGAAAGTCTGAAAAAATGTTAGGTGGCATCACTTTGTTCGAGGAAGCTCACACGATGGTACTAAAGAGGAAGAATCTGGCCAATGAAAACTCAAAACAGAGGCTATTTTCAGTCATGTGTAAATAAGTCCTGATTTATAGGGGAAAGGAACAAATTATTCAGTTTTTATGCATTCCAGAAAGCCCCAAACCTTCTTTATGTTCAGGAACAGATAGTAATCACCCAAACGTTTATCACTGGCTTTGAAACGTATGCCTCCAGCTTCTTATTGGCCTTTCATGGCACAAACGAGAACTGAATCTAAACTGATGGACTCTGGAACTTCTATATAACTCTTCTGCTTCACATAGCAGAGGTAATCTTGAGAAAGTCCTTGTTAAAACAGACCACATATGGACATTTACTAGAACCCATGATGAGTCCTTTGGTAAAGTGATGAGATATATTGAAAATGAATAGCTGCTTAGTAATTGATGTTTATTTAGTATATATTTTTCAAGCTTTTCATTTACTCAGAGTAGGAGTCTGCCTTTGAATATATATGACCTTATAGATACAATCAATTTTTATATAAACACTCATAAAGCAATTTAAGCCTTATCAAGGTGCTTGGTACAATAAAAAGTCAAGATAAGCATATGGATGAAATGAATGAGGCATCAATTATCTTCTGCCAGCCTCTCCCTCGCCCCTGAAATACATTTACACGTTCCCTCGGACTTTCTCTAATCCAAGTGTGACATCAAAATTCCCTGGAGTTCTTGATACAGCTGTAGATTCTTGAGCCCTGCCTCAAACAGGCATTTCTCCACCAGATTTCATATAGAGCAAGTCTAAAAATCCCAATAGAAAAGCAGTCTTCCTATAAACCAGCACAAAGTGCTAGCTCCCCTATAGACACACTGCAGTAACCCAGGAGCACAACCTGGCCAGGCCTCCTTGGAGGTTTATTACCGTCTTCAGGATCTTCAATAGGAGAGCTCCCTCCTCTGCAAACCTGAGACTTTCCGGACATGTGAAATGACTTGTCCCCTCAGAATCACGGAACTTCAGTACTGGAAGGGCCACTGGGATTCTTCTAGTGTGACTTCCCTTCCATTTTTCCATTTATTTATACCATGCTCATTACACAAAGGTTGAGAGTTGCAGTGTACAAAAACGTGTACACTAAAATATTAAATATGAAAAATAATACCATGCTAAGATCAGGGAAAGTAAAAGCTAGAACAGAAGGTCAAAATAAGGAAGGAAAACGGTCTCAAGACATCAAGCCAAGGCTCCTGCAGAGTTCTTTAATAAATAAAGCTTTGGATTTGACTTGAGCTTCCTGGCAGTTCAAGTGGAGAGGAAAACATGCTGGTGAGCTGATTCTTGTCTCCTGCGTGGAAGCACAAGAGACTCTCGCTTACAGAGGAGGAAACTCCAACCTAGGGAAGTAAGAGGGCTCTCTGGTTAGTGCCAGAGCGGAGACAAAAACACCATTCTCCTAAGTCCCAGGCTAGTGTCAACCCTGTGTCACTCAACTTCAAATATGTATGTATGATGACTCTAATCACAGAGGCTTCCCCAAGTCTCTTGTGAATTCTTTGCCTGTTCTTAAAATTTATGTAGCAGCAAAAAGCTTAGAATCAGCAAACTCTGAAAGCCTCTTTGCCTCTACATCCAAGGACTGGCTCAGCTCTGAGCGTCACTGTGAGAACTTCCCCCTCAGTTTTCCTGTTTCTCAGTCTCTCTGTCAGGGGCTCTGCCAGAGCAGCTAACTAACCAAGAGGTATGACACAATCATGGCAAAGGAGCTTTTCAAAATTCTCTCCTTCCTGTTTCATTCCATGGATAAGAAGGTCTTCAGGCAACTTGACTCAAAAGAGTTCTTCTGTGTTCTCAGTTTAAACTAAGTCCCTTGCTTACAGCCAATTATCTGCTCTGACAAATTTTCAGATACTCAGAAGTAAAAATAAACCAACAGTCTTAATGTCCAATGTCTTATCGTTCCCAAGTGTTCTGTCATCAGAAACAAAACAGGAAGCTGTGGCTACATCTCGACCCACTTAGCAGTGCTTATGTTAATATCCAATGTCATTTTAAAAAACTGTTTTGAGTTATTCCTGTCACCTACCTGCCACATATAATGATATTGGCCATTCTTAATGTTGAATAGCTTTTCTCATGATGGACTCCCTCACTCTCAGAACTATTGTCCTTGGTATCATCAAGCAAGGCAAGATGGCCTGCTTAGAGAAGACACTTTTTCACCAAGGCCCTAGACATCCCCACAAGGCCATGCATGGCCTGGGGAGGGAACTGAGCCTCTAGCTTCAAGCCGTCAGGCTTCCTTAAAGTGTTCACACATCTTCAATTCAGATTAAGAATTGAGATATTTTAGGGAAAGCCATTTGATGTTCTGGAATAGTAGAAAACTCTATTTTTAAAACTTTTCTGTTCTCCAGTTCACTGAAAAATGACTACAGATCCTTTTCTTGCTTTCAGATGTGACAAGGGATTAGGAGTGAGCATGCAAATCAAGAGGGAGGGACTGCTTGGTGAGACTTGAGTATCTCTACTTCCACCCGAAACTTGAAAAGCCTGGAAGGGCCACTCATCTACTGCGAAGGCCTCTTGGGCTCCCCCAGGTGGACGACAGGAGGTTCATGCTAGAGCGCACGTAGAAGGAAGAAGCGTGCCGCGCGGGGCTCTCCCTCGTGGCCATCGTGGTGAGGCTCACTGGCCAGGGCTTTCCCGCCAGGAGGTTCAACAAGGAGGAAAAGGAAATCTGCAAAATTTTTTTAGGGAGCAAGATTGTAAAAAGAAGCAAAGCCCAGACTTCCTCAAACCAGGCATTCTAAAAAGCTTCAGACTACAATCTTGGACTCTCAAGTGCAGCTTCAATAACTGCACTTTAGACCTTGACTTGGCCACCTGCCCTGCACGTGGTCATTTACACCACAGCCGACAAATCCCGGACCTCTAACTAGGACAGCCTGGTGGCTCTCAGCGGGTGCTGCTGTCCTGGTTGGAGGAGGAAGAAAGAGGTTTTTCTTGATGGAAATAATTCTTAAGAAGCAGACCTGGGACTTCCCTCGTGGCACAGTGGTTAAGAATCTGCCCGCCAACGCAGGGGACACAGGTTCAAGCCCTGATCCAGGAAGATCCCACATGCCGCAAAGCAACTGAGCCCATGCACCAGAACTACTGAGCCCGCGTGCTACAACTACTGAAGCCCGCGTGCCTA